TACCCGGGGTACTGACAGCATCAGCCAGCTTAGCTTACAGGCTCTTGCCTGCGTAAAGTTATCTCTACCCACTTCCCGAAAGTCACAACGTGCCAACTAAAACCGAGTGTAGACTGCCACCTTTATCAGATAACCAGTTTCTTTCTTTGTGCTGATATTGGGATTTCTTGCGGAGCTTCGCAGGTAGTGTGCTTGCATTTCCTGTCTGCAAGACGCAGTCTGCTAGTGCTGGGACTAACACGGCCCCGCGGACCCAACCTCCTGCGTCTGGGTCCTGTCCTACCTGACCACACTCCCCTATCAGCCCACTTGGGCCCTTGAGCAACCGAGTGTCCAGGTCATTAGAGAAGCCACCCAGCCTGTGCCTAGCCTCCCTCCACTTCTACTCTACCCCTATTCCTACACCCTCCTCCACTCCCCTATAGTGTCTACGTTCATGACCCTCTCTGACAGCATCATTCCTCCGCGGACGGAAGCACTGTTGCCACCATCTGATGTCCACTGGTCCCAAGTCTTCTCGAACCAGTCCACTCTGATTGCCTGCTCAGGAACCAGCTTCGTTGCTTCCTGTTAGCTCTCCCTGGCCTTGCTTTTCTCCTGCGTGGAAATCAAGTGCAGGATCAAGTCAGCGTTGAAGCAGGCGATCAATCAAGTCAGAGTTGAAGCAGGCGATCAATCAAGTCAGCGTTGAACCAGGTGATCAATCAAGTCAGCGTTGAAGCAGGGGACCAATCAAGTCAGCGTTGAAGCAGGCGACCAATCAAGTCAGCGTTGAAGCAGGCGATCAGAGTGGACTTGATCGCCTGTGTCAACGCTGACTTGATCCTGCACTTGATCCTGCACTTGATCCTGCACTTGATCCTGCACTTGATTTCCACGTCTGACAGCGGGCGTTTGTCAAACCTTGACCTGTTTCTGTCGAACCAGATCACTTCGCAGATTACACCTCTTACTGCCTGTGCCACATATCCCCAACCCTTGCCGCCCTGAAGCCCTGGTGGTATGAAGCCCAGCAGCACCCAGTACTCGTCCCGGTTAATCTGCCCGGCCCCCATTTCTTTCAAGTGGAGTTCCCACCATTTCCAAATGTGTTTGGAGGTCTCGTGTGGATTCGAGGGGCCCTCTACACCTCGAGCAACCTAGGTTCACCACCAGCCCCCTTCCTAGTAGCCAGAGTGCGGAAAGGGGTCACGAGCATTGAGAGAAGCCAGAGTATACTTACCTGTTTTCCATTTGGGAGACGGCTAAGGTTCTTCCACAGGAGCTCGAATTGCGATGTCGAGACTGATACTTTTTTCCTAGCGTTGCCTGCCATCTGGACACGGCCAGCGAGGTCGGTGTTCTCAAGGATCTGCGGGCCGGTTCATAACCTGTCCTCGTCGTGTATTCGGCAAAGGGAAGTGTGGTGGGTTCTGAGGTGACTGCGGTGCGACTCACCCACCCCCATGCCATGGGATCAATCCTAAGCTTTCTCAGTGCAGTGGTGCGCGCCCCACCCATGTAAACATGCCTGTGGGTTTGTCTTCCACTCTTAGCTCTGTAACCGGTACCTGAGGTGGGTTGCTCCATCCCATAACTGTCTCCTCACCTAGGAACTCCATGTGTCTACCTGCCGAAAACCGCTGGCTGTAATATCCTTCACCTTCCACAGTGTGTTTTGTACCGGTTCGTTCGTCCGTGGCTATGTACCATTTGTCTGGTGGATCCACCCCTTGCGGGCCCAGCATGTTTTGCCATTCCTGGGGAATCGCTTCCATCAGACTATGGCGATTTTCTTCCACCCTACGCAGCCCAGCAAGTTGTTCTCGCAGTGGCTATGAAGAAATCTTAGTTTTCTTTTGCCCGCTTGTGAAAGGAAAAGGAAAAAAAAAAAAAGCTTTCTGTACTGAAATGATTTCGGGCAGGGTAGTCTATAGGAGGCTGTGCTCACGGTCTTCCTCTACAGAATGCATCTTACAGCAAAGACGGTCACATTCTGAACCTTTTTTTTTTTTTTTCCTCGTTTGTTTGTAACGAGTCCCCTGCCAACGAGGCAGGACAGAATCCGTGATCTGCTCTAGCTGTGTTTGCTCAGAGGATTGTATCCCTGAGCACACTGATGCAAAGGGGAATGTATCCAGCCATTTTCATGGCCGAATCCGTGTTTCCGTTTTTTTTCCCCCTTGTTTTCTGTTTCTGGAATCTGACAATCTGAATCCGTGATCTGCTCGAGCTGTGTTTCCTCAGAGGATTGTAACCCTGATGACACTGGCACTTAGAGGAATGTATCCAGCCATTTTCACGGCCGAATCCGTTTTTTTTTTTTCTTTTCCCTTCTTTTGTGTTTCTGGAATCTGACAACCTGGCCACGGGGCTGAGAAGACGCCTTCACACCGAGGGCACACTCGCACCACCACTTCCAAGAATGTATACAACTGCAATCACGGCATGTAAGTGGCATTCAGGAGGTTGTGGGTTCAAGCCCCATGGCTGCCTGTGGCGCACTTTCAATGGACTGTGATAGTCCTCTGGATACCCCTGATCGGTATTAGCGGGCTCTATGACGAACACGGGTGTGAGTGTGAGCGCGAGTGGGAGTGGGTTGTGTGTGGTGTGTGGGAGAGTGTTGGCCATAGACTCTGCTGCTACTCGATGAGGGGTGGGAGACAATGAGAAAGGGAGGCGCAGCTACTGGCTAAATGCTCGGTCTTTGCGTTAGCCGGACCCCCACCAGCGGCCCCACCCCATCTCTGACTACCGCTGTTGGGGCGGGGGGCAACATGAATTACCTCTTCTGCGAGGCCCTATGCTTGCAGGGGTCCCCTCTATACAGTCTTAGGAGTAGTGGTAGGAAGGTAGTGAAAGACCAAAAAGAATTTGAGAGAAGAACATAGTGTATAAAGAAATAAAAAATTAAAAAAATGGAGTGAGACCCAGGCTCGGCAAAACTCGGAGTGCAGTGAAATTCAGGGTCGGCAAAACTCGGAGCGCAGTGAAATTCAGGGTCGGCAAAACTCGGAGCGCAGTGAAATTTAGGCTCCTCTTTTTTTTTTCTGTAACCTTTTGTTTTTCCGCACAGGGCGATTACAAATTTGGTAAGGTAAGCTGTAATAATAAATAAATAAAATAAATTTGGTACGGAATTGTAGTCCATGCCTTCTTTTCTGTTGTGAGGAGGACCCATCCTGGGTGGAGGCAAAGTAATTCTCTTCTCCCGGGCCGAGGTCCCACTAGCAAAAAGGATAGGATCGAGCTCCTGAATCTGGATGTGTTTTAAACACAGATGCAGAAAAGCAGTTCAATCTCGATTTCCTGCACATCTCCATAAATTTGTCCAGATTCAGGCATTCGATCCGATCCTCTTTGCTAGTGGGACCATGCCCCCGGATCAGCTTGGCTCTCGAATCCGGGCTCTGGAAGCCTCCTTCCATTTGTTCCTCTCTCTCTCTCTCTCTCCATATATATATATATGTGTGTGTTTACTTTGTACGTGTGTCTATTACGTGCATGCTTATATGTGTAATCGCAGTTGCTTCTTCACTGGCGTCCCATGTGGGAGTGCACTTGTGAGGATACCTGCTTCGCTTCGCAGTGAATGAACGATGATGATGATGGTCACAATGATTATGATCCTAAGGATGATATTGCTGCTCCTGATGAGGATGCTACCGTCTTCACCCGAATAGAACGCCTGGTTATTATAGCTGTATCTGGACTGAAACGTGCACCAAATACGGCTCTAATGACCGTGCGTTCTATTCCGGTGAAGACGGTAGTGTTGGTGGTGGTGTTGGTGGTGCTGACGATGGTCGTGGTGATGGTAGTAACGAGGATGAGGATGATGATGATGAGGAAGCTGAATGCGATGATGATGGTGATGATAGCGATGGAGATGATGATGGTGATGATAGCTATGGCGATGATGATGGTAATAGTGTGATCGTGTGTGTGTGTGTGTGTGTGTGTGTGTGTGTGTGTGTGTG